CGAAACGAACCGGCTCTGGATTGCATTAATAAATAGCGGGAAGGAGAAGTTCTCTCATAGTGTTGTATTTAAAATCATAATTTTTTTATGAAAGTAAAGAAACTACTCACAAGTGTATAAAATAAACCGGCATCATAATCTCTGTTTTTCCTGATCAGAGCTATGAGGGGCATGATGACGTCACCGCTGTAGCTCCGACCAATGTGTTTCGTCCAACAGGTTACTGATGCAACAGAGTTTTGTTACTTGTGAGTAGCTTCTTTACTTTAATAAAAAAAAAGATGATTTTAAATTCTACACTATGAGAGATCTTCCCCTTCTTGCTTGCTAATAGTATAATCCGGAGCCAGCTCATTTCATTGGATTGCTGATGTCTGCGTCATCCATCCATCCATTTGGGTTTATCCCTTATTGAGTAGCCAGACCTCTGTTTCATTGACGTCTGAGAATCTGGTAAGCAGGGTGTGATTTTTGGGGCACACAAGTGGTGAAGATCAATTAGTCTAGTGCATCCTAACAAATTTATTTTGTTTATTGGTTTATGCATTGCATTTATCTTGTCTTTCCATACTTTACTTATTTTATATGCCATTAAGTTGTTAATATGTTTATTTAAAACCATATTGGAACCTTTACAATAACTTTAAATATTAGTATACCACCACACTAGATCATACTTACCTGCTCTGTGCAATGGTTTTGCACAGAGCAGCCTCAAACCTCCTCTTTTCATATCCCCTGCCGGCGATCCAGGCCACTCCTCTTGCTGAGAGCCCCCAGAGCAAGCTGCTTGCTTTGGGGGCACTCGTGTGTGCTCACTCCTGAGCCGCCTTTGTATGTCTATGAGATGCACATAGCATGCTCCCCCCAACCCCCCTCCCTCCCTCCCTCCCCACTGACTGTGATTGACAGCAGTGGGAGCCAACGGCTCCTGCTATTGCGTCTCAGACAATGAGGAGGCAGAGACCCAGGAGAGTTTCTGTTCTTGTGCACCTCACTGAGTCAGGATCAGGCTTAGGTGAGGATAAGGGGGGCTGAGGGGAGTGGGAGCTGCAAACTGAATGCATAGAAATGAATGCATAGAATACATGAAGGCAGGGGCGGACTGACAACTCATGGGGCCCCCGGGCAATAGGTGATCATGGGGCCCCTGTGTCCTTGCCCAAACTCAAAAAAGCCTATGAAAAAGGTACCAGGGGCATCTCATGGGGCCCCCCACTGACCCCGGGCCCTCGGGCAGTGCCCAAGTTTCCAAATGGTCAGTCCGCCCCTGCATGAAGGTAAAAAAACCTTAAGCCTTTAGAACCACTTTTAGTTATACAAGTGTGTGCAGCCTTCAACCTATATAACCAGGTGTACCAGAGGGGACACAGCAGTTTACAGAGTCGTGGCAGCACAGAGAACCTATCATACCAAGTGGCTGCTGCGGGGGTAAGCATCAAAGAAATGTCTTGACCAGATTTTTAATTCATACTATATTTTCCTGTACAGCTTCCCATGGGCTTTAGCACAACTGCAAATATCAGAATTGGAATGGCTTTAGGAGCGGGAGACATCGAACAAGCCAAAAAGTCTACTAAAGTTGTACTTTACTGCACAGGTATCTGGTTTCTGTGAACATGACTCTCAGTTCTCATTTTCTCTAGTTTCTACAACATGTTTACTCTCAATTTTTGTGTTTGCACTAGTATTTTCATGTGTACATAGGTGCAATGTTTCCCAAAATGTGCTCCACTGTATACCACCATCATGAACTTTGCTGCATCCAAAATTCACTTATGCTAAAAAGACAACATCTACCATACACCTCATCATGAATATAAATGGAAAATAATTTGTTATATATGGAAACTTGCACTCAGAGTAAAGACATGAAATGAGGACATAGAACACAACCCACCTACCCAATCATTTTGATTATAATCAAGGCACAGCTGTATAGCACCAGACCAACATAGTACATAAGGAGGTTCTTTCACTAGGAAAAAGGAAGCTAAATGCTAGAGATGCCTACACACACCTGCACATCTCTCCTATCTTTCTGTTAAGGCCAAATTTCATTCCGCTCTTACCGCCAATTGGCCAGTTATGATGTCCATCATAGTAATGGGCCAATGTGGGGGTGGTGCTTTGTGGCAATCTCTGACAGTAATTGAAAATGTGGGAACTTTGCCATTCTTAAAGCCTGGCATTCGACCATGACAGTAGGGTATGGGAGTCCATGGCAAATATTGCTTCATACCTGCAGCAGTTTGTACCCTCTGATAATATCTTTTTAAAGTCCCCCTTGCTACTAGAAATGTGACATCTTAAGTACACCTTATTCTAAATAATATTAACCACTGTCCGATTTCACATGCCACCTGGAGTGTGAATTTAGCCTGAACTTTTTTTACCCAAAACTATTTGTAGTTTTAGAAGGAATAGGAAACAATTAGAATGCATACAGAGATTTTATTACTATCTAGAGCTCACCGTTTTAGGGCTTATTTACACCAGATGCAGTCAGGTGCATTTTAAATGCAGCAAAAACATATATACAAGAAAAATGTAGTCCAATGAGCCTAGTTTATACATTTGCAGTGCTTTCATGTGCATTTTAAAAAGGTACAGCATTCTGCATTTTTCTGCACCAGAACTAAATACCAAACACCAGTATGTTGTGATACTCCTGTGCCTTGGGGCACACAGCGGTGCAATCTGCAACCTCTGTGTCCACCGGACACAGTGGATTGTGGTGCTTTGTATCTGGCTGCTGTGAGCGGCCAGATACCACGTTATCGCTGTGTGATCACATGTCACCTAGGAAAGAAGAGTCATGAATCCCAACCACGGCACCACCTGCCTGGAGTTTGCATGTTCTCCCTGTGTCTGCGTGGGTTTCCTCCGGGTACTCGGTTTCCTCCCACACTCCAAAGACATTCTGGTAGGTTAATTGGATCCTGTCTAAATTGGCCCTAGTATGTGCATGTATGAATGTAAGTTAGGGACCTTAGATTGTACGCCCCTTGAGGGTTAGGGACTGATGTGAATGTACAATACATATATGTAAAGCGCTGCGTAAATTGACAGCGCTATATAAGTACCTGAAATAAATAAATTAATGGAATCCATTCATGACATCATTGTTTACTACTGTGTGTGATCTGTGATTGGTCACCAGTGATCACATGGTACCTGGGCCAATTACAGAACGCTCTGCATGTGAGAGCTGTGAGCCAGTCACAGCATCACAAAAGTAAACAATGAGTCACAAATGAAAACCATTCATGACAGTTCAAATTATTGCTGTTACAAGGATCATTGTTAAAAAAAAAAATCGCTGTTAACACACCCCCTCCATCCATATCACAATGGTGACACTGAACTACCCTGATGACAGTATGAAAAAAAATTGTACAAAAATAAATTTAAAAAAATTAATCAAAAATTATTATTGTTATTATTATTACTATTTTTATTATTATTAATATTTTTTACATACTGTCACTGGTCAGTATCCCTTATCACCACCAAACCAGTCATATGATGATGCTGTACTGCACTAGTACTGCACCAGTCACAGTGTAAAAAAAAATCCCTGATCACCCCTGACAACTGATAACAATATGGTAAAAAAAAAAAGAAAAAATGTTTAAAAAGTTGAATAAGAAATCATTACTTTTTTTTTACATACTATCACCAGTCAGTAACCCCGATCACCATCACACCAGTCATGATGATGCTGTACTGCACTGTGACAGTATGTTAAAAAAAAATGTGAAATAAAAATAAATTTTATTTAATTTCTTCACTTTCCAAAAAATTGTATAAAAAAAAAAAAAGACAACTTCCAAAAACTTGCCATGCCTTTTACTAAATACCTTAGAATGTCTACATTCTAAAAAGGGGTCTTTTGGGGAATACTTGTACTGTCCTGGCATTTTAGGGTCTGAAGAAATGAGGTAGGCAGTCAGTACATTGGGATCAATCAATTTTAAATTGTTTAACTCTAGTTTGTAAACTCTATAATGTAGACTAAATAATAAACACTGATTTGCGGTTATTTTTTACCAAAGAAATGTAGCAGACTGAATTTTGTCCTAAATTTATGAAGAAAGTTTATTTGTTTGCAAAATTTTATAACAGAAACTAAGGAAAATTTGTTTTTTTTTCAAAATTCTCAGTATTTGTTATTTATATATCAAAAAATGAAAGACTCAGTGGTGATCAAATACCACCAAAAGTTCTATTTGTGTAAAAAAAAAAGTTATATCAATTTCATTTGGGTAGTGTTGCATGACTGAGGAATTGCCAGTTAACCACTTGCCTACCAGGCACTTATACCCCCTTATTTACCAGGCCAATTTTCAGCCTTCAGCGCTGCCGCACTTTGATTGGCAATTGCACGGTCATGCAACATTGTAACCGTATGAAATTTTGATCATTTTTTTCTCACAAATAGAGCTTTCTTTTGGTGGTATTTAATCGCCACTGGGCACTTTACTTTTTGCGCTATAAATAAAAAAAGTGCAAAAAATTTTTAAAAAAAAAAACGTTTCTTTGTTTCTATTATAAAATTTTTCAAACAGGTATTTTTTCTCCTTCGCTGATGTGCGTTGATGAGGCAGCACTGATGGGCACTGATAGGCGGCACTGATGGGCACTGATAGGCAGCACTAAAGGGCACTGATAGGCAGTACTAATGAGGTGGCACGGATAGGCGGCACTGATAGACAGCACTAATGAGGTGTCACGGATAGGCGGCACTAATATGCAGCACTGATAGGTGGCACTGATAGCTGACACTGATGATGGGTACTGATAGACGGCACTGACTGGCATCACTGCTGGGCACTGACTGGCGGCACTGACTGGCACAACCCCTGGGCACTGACTGGTGGCACTGACTGGCAGCACTGGTGGGTGGCACTGGTGGGCAGCACTGGTGGGTGGGCACAGGTGGGTGGCACTGCAGAGTGGCACAGGTGGGTGCACTGCTGGGCACAGGTGGGTGATCTGCTGGGCACAGGTGGGCGGAGCTAGTGGGCGCACTGCTGGGCGGAATTTGCGGCGGGTGGCACTGCTGGGCACCGATCATCAGGACACTGATCATCAGTGCCCTGATGATCGGTGCCGATCCCCGCTCTGACAACTGCCGGTTCTCGGCAGTACTTTCCTCACGATCTGACAGCGTGAGGAAAGTGCAGCCGAGAACCGGCACTTGCATTTCCCTGTGATCAGCGTGTCATTGGACACCGCTGATCACGTGGTAAAAGGCCGCTGTGATTGGCCTTTTACCACATCACGTGATCAGCTGTGTCCGTAGGACACAGCGATCACGGAGATCGCCGGGTGCGTGCCCCCCTGGGGCGTGCAGGAGAGCGCGTTCTGGGAGGACGTCATATGACGTCCACTCAGAACTGGCCGGCCGCAGTGCAGCCGTCATTCGGCTATCTGCGGTCGGCAGCTAGTTAAAATAGCACAGTTCTAAATAGCAAAAATGTCCTGGTCATGAAGGGGGCAAAACCTTTCAGAGATTGGTTAACACTCAAGAACACATTTGGTAAATAGTGTTGGGCTTCAAGTTCAATCGAACATAAGTTCGACTCAAACATGGGCCACTCATGTGCTCAGCGAACACACGAATAATAAGGGCGTTCGGCAGGCTGTTCACCATGCCATGCCCCACAATGCACTGCACCCTGACAGTGCATTGTGAGTGGTCAAAGCAATGCACCTGACCACAGGTGGTCACAGGCGGCAGGCATTGTGATTGACAGATCTACTTCGGGGGACATTTTTTGTTTTTGTCTTTAATAAAGGAGTTGTCTCTTCTCATTTTTACACTACCCTTTTTTTTTTTTTGAATGGGTAGCAGTACTATGTACCCCATACTCATTCACGTAGGGGTGCCGGGATCTGGGGGCCCCCTTGTTAAAGGGGGCTTGCAGATTCCGATAAGCCCCCCGCTCACAGACCCCCACAACCACAATCCACGGGAGCCCCCCCATCTTAAAGCTCCCCCCCATGTTGAGGGCATGTGGCCTAATATGGTTCAGGAGGTGGGGGCGCTTGCTCCTTCACCCCTTTATCTGAGCTGCCGAGCTTCATGCTCGGACAAGGATATGGTATGGATTCTGGGGGGGGACCACCACCATTTTTTTTTTAATTCTGCTGTGGGGGTTCTCCTCAAAATCCATACAGACCCGAACGTCTTGGTATGGATGGAGGGGGGATCCCACGCGTTTTTAAAACACTTTTTAATTGCCGGGCAATGTCAGCAATTCTTTTTACATTCAGCTGTCAGTGAGGAACCCCACTGACAGCTGAAACAATAAAGAATGTCTTCACTACTAAAATACCGCATGACTTAATAATATAACTCATGCAGTATGTTAGTAGCTGTGCAGCATCTATCGCATACTCAGACAGCTTAGTGAATTGTCCCAGTTTGAAGTTCATGGTTGACCTTTCAGTAGGTTTGGATTTTTGGCCGCAATTCGAACAGGGGGGGTGTTCGGCCCATCACTATTGGTAAACATTAGTCTTGCATTTATCGCCATTTGTTTTCAATTGTGCAATTTTCTTGGGCTTTGAGTACCACTTCTGATTTGGTTACTGTTATTTGATGTATTAGTGGGCATATACCAAACAGTTCACACATTAAATTCTTTTTTCAGACTAATCTGTACTTCCTGTTTTTCAGTATCTGGTTGCCTGTTGGTCTGCTGTACTGTACTTGCACTGAGAAGTGTCATAGGTTATATGTTTACAAATGATAGGTGAGTATTATGTAAATACTTCTTCAAATCCATTTAAACAATGATTTCTCTCCTTGATACAGTTTGTGGCATGATAATATATAGTGATCTTCCATTTTTGCACAAGGGTTTTTATAAGTTTCTATACAGAAAATTGATATTAAAAACACTACCCTGTTTTGGCATAAGTAAAAAAATCATAGCTACCCAGATAAAAATATATCTGGACCAGTTTATTATGGTAGGGAATTTAGGGACAAGTTACATTTTTTTTTGGTTTGCAAAGAAAATAATTTAAAGAAAAAAGTCTTTAATGGTGAGGCAGAAGAGAATAAATGGCCAAAGAAGGCTTTTACTGGGATGCACCATCAGGGCTTAGCTGGCAATCCACTTTGCTTGAGGGCTTGTTAACACTACATGCAGTCCAGTGCATTTTTTTTCTGCATCAGAAATGCACTCACAGAGTTTTCTATGTATTCCAAGGGCCATAGTTCACACCAGTGCAGTCAGTGCAGTCAGTTCTAGTCAGTTTCCGGTGCAGAAAAAAAATGTAGAACATGCTGCATTTTTTTTCTGCACAGAACTGTACTGGAACATAGCAAACTGCATTAAAACTGCATCAGAACAGAGTGTGGTATAAACTGTAAGCAAAAACATATCCGGAATGCATCCGGAGTGCATTTTTGTGGTGTGAACTGACCCTTAAACTCAGTATCTTGCATATTAGCTTAGAACACCTTAGAGAGTCCAGATAACACAAATTCCCTTATGTTGCATGTTCTCTAGACCAGTGTTCTCAACTTTTTTTCAGTCAAGGCACACTTTAAAATTCTGCACAATCTCGAGGCACCGCATTCTAAAATTTAAAAAAACTATTTTATAAGTTTTACATAATGCAGCAACATCAACACACATAGTACACCCAACGTTAGAGGCTAGCTTATATACAAGTTTTGGGCAATTTTTAGGCGTATTGCTAAAGCACCCCTGAAGAAGCATGAAGAAGGCACCCCTGAAGAAGCCTGAAGGCACCCCAGGGAGCCTGGGTATCCTGGTTGAAAAAGGCTGCTCTAGACAGTAGCCAGTGGCTCTCAACCTTAGTGAGACTGTAGTAAATTCTTTCTGTACCAGCAGTTAAAAGAAAAAAAAAAGTTTATACAAAAGAGTATGGGCTTACAAAATGTATGTTTAAAATTTATTTAAAAAATGAGTAATCAGTCAAAAATATGAGTTTACTGTAATAGAAATACACACATTGACAAAAACGAACATTATGCTTAGATATATTTATTTATTTATTTATTTATTTATCGTGTTTATATAGCGCCAAAGGGTTTGCTCAGCGCTGTACAATGGGGGGGACAATACATGAAACAGAACAGTAACATCAAACAGTACACAAGGGGTTAGAGGGCCCTACTCTTTCGAGCTTACAATCTAGGAGGGAGGGGGTAGAGGCACCGGAGGAAGCGGCTGTGGGGGATGAAGTGGTAGGTAGGAGGGGAAGGGCAGCGGCTGTTAGGTGAGGGTGGGGTAGGCTTCCCTGAAGAGGTGGGTTTTCAGGGAGCGCCTGAAGGTGAGGAGGGACGGTGACAGTCTGATGGATTGGGGTAGTGAGTTCCAGAGGATGGGGGAGGACCTGGAGAAGTCTTGCAGTCGTGCGTGGGAGGAGGAGACCAGGGAGCAAGATAGAAGAAGGTCCTGTGATATAGATATATAGATATATATATATACAGTATATATATATAGATATAGGCACTGGCTTCCATTTATACAAATCAGTTTAACATTGTTCTCTACTGCATGCACACTCTTTTGATAAGAGTTTGGTAAGGTTCAAGGTAAAGCTATCATCTGTTTGATCAATTGACTGATTACGCATCCTGTTACAACCTCAGTGGGAGAATAGTCCCCAGATCATTGGTGTCAGTGGTATGATTGCCTTAGTGCCCTAGGAAGAACAGCTTCTTAACCTCTTGCCGACCGCGCATAGCCGAATGACGGCTTCACCGCGGGCTTACCGGCCAGTTCTGAGTGGGACGTCATATGACGTCCTCCCAGAACGCGCTCTCCTGCGCGCCCCAGGGGGCGCGCACTCGGCGATCTCCGTGATCGCTGTGTCCTACGGACACAGCTGATCACGTGATGCGGTGAAAGGCCGATCCCACCGGCCTTTTACCACGTGATCAGCGGTGTCCAATGACACGCTGATCACAGGGAAATGCAAGTGCCGGTTCTCGGCTGCACTTTCCTCACGCTGTCAGATCGTGAGGAAAGTACTGCCGAGAACCGGCAGTTGTCAGAGCGGGGATCGGCACCGATCATCAGGGCACTGATGATCAGTGCCCTGATGATCGGTGCCCAGCAGTGACACCCGCAAGTTCCGCCCAGCAGTGCGCCCACTAGCCCCGCCCACCCATTCCCAGCAGTGCCCCCACCTGTGCCCAGCAGTGCCCCCACCTGTGCCCAGCAGTGCACCCACCTGTGCCACTCTGCAGTGCCACCTACCTGTGCCCAGAAGTGCCACCTACATGTGCCCAGCAGTGCCACCCACCTGTGCCCACCCACCTGTGCCCACCAGTGCCACCCACCTGTGCCCACCCACCAGTGCTGCCCACCAGTGCCACCCACCAGTGCAGCCAGGCAGTGCTGCCAGTCAGTGCCACCAGTCAGTGCCCAGGGGTTTGTGCCAGTCAGTGCCGCCAGTCAGTGCCCAGAAGTGATGCCAGTCAGTGCCGTCTATCAGTACCCATCATCAGTGTCACCTATCAGTGCCGCCTATCAGTGCTGCATATCAGTGCCGCCTATCCGTGACCCCTAATTAGTGCTGTCTATCAGTGCCGCCTATCCGTGCCACCTCATTAGTACTGCCTATCAGTGCCCTTTAGTGCTGCCCATCAGTGCCGCCTATCAGTGCCCATCAGTGCCGCCTCATCAACGCAAATCAGTGAAGGAGAAAAAATACCTGTTTGAAAAAAATTTTATAAAAGATACAAATAAAATTTTTTTTTTTTTAAATTTTTTGCACTTTTTTTAATTTATAGCGCAAAAAGTAAAGCGCCCAGTGGCGATTAAATACCACCAAAAGAAAGCTCTATTTGTGAGAAAAAAATGATCAAAATTTCATATGGGTACAATGTTGCATGACCGTGCAATTGTCAATCAAAGTGCGGCAGCGCTGAAAGCTGAAAATTGGCCTGGTAAGGAAGGGGGTATAAGTGCCTGGTAGGCAAGTGGTTAAATCATTGGTGGCAATGGAATTATGGACAACAGGGGGAGGAATAGCCTCTCAAATCAATGGTGTCAGTGTTACCTGGCAGGTGTGTTGGATAGAGTGCCTGCCATTACATCATTATAAGACATAATAGTGATGTAGGGACTGACAGGAAGAACCCCAGTGCACACCTGGACAAAGCCAGCTTTAGATAAAAATTCCCCCGCTTTCATTCCCTAACGTACAAAGCTTAACCCCCCCACACCAAGGAAAGTGCCAACTTACCTCCCTCTGATTGAAGTGTACAGAGTTTGTATCCTTCATTAAGAATTATTCTTCGTGCTGCCTGTATCTGGACAGTAACTTCCCTTTGACATAAATAGGGGCTTACTGCAATGGTATACATACAGCCCATTCAATTTTAAGAACGTTACTGCATTGGCAGCGCCAAAAACATTTCTGAATAGGGAATGTTATCACCACAAATGGACCTGCTGTCAGGGTTTAGGTGGGTAGGTTTTGATAGATTAGAGTAGATTAGGTGGGTAGGGAGTAGGGATTGGGGGATTTATTTATCTAACCCTAAAGATACCCCAAAATATTGAGTGCCCTGACACATGTTGCAAAAGACGTAATAGAACAGATAACCTGTATTTCAGTAGAATACTGACTTTCTACTTTCTTGAGTCATAACAGTGATTCTTTGTTTTTTCTCCCTTGTTTTGCTCCTGAACTTTACTTACACTTGTGAATACATTCACAAATTTTATTAGGATTCTAGTGAAAGTGTAGGACCACTATTTTAAAGTTTCATTTTTTTTTCTATTTACAACTGCTCATTCTTCATTTTCCAAACAGTTGCAGTCTGGTAAATATGCAGCTTCAATGAGTATAATAAACACATCTACATAGTAAAGAAAGGAGAATTTATCTACACTGGTACAGTTATTAGTAAGTGAAATGGATAGTTTATTTACTTGTCCTAACCTACGTAAAACAGGAGAAATTATTTTTATACTTTACTGTCATGGTAAATGTTTTGTAGCATGATCCTATGTGATTTTATTTTTCCTTTGTTGTTAAATGCAGAGATATCATTATTTTGGTGTCACATGTTATACTCGTATTTGCTCCATTTCACCTGTGTCAAGGTACAATTGTAAGTATTTTATTATTTAGCTCATTATTTATGTATAAATTAAAGTGGTACTTTACTCATAACAACTTGATAAAAAATAATGTTCTTTACCAAGGAACATACGGTACATTTTGCATTAATAATTATGCTACCAAAATTAGTGTGTGCTGTAAATTGCCTCCAGCATTGCTGCTGTTTCCTCTTGCTGGAAGCTGCCATTTTGCTGAAGCCCAAAGCCCCTGAGCAGCAGTAAATCTTTAGGCTGTTTGCAGATCGAACTCTAGTGGCTCTTCAGCACAGTGCCAAGCAATAGAGAGCAACTGAGCATGTGCAGAGCAGAGTGCGACAGTTTATTGCTAGATTTTAACCAGCATAGGTACTTATTTTTAATGTTTTACATAGTTATACCTACAAAAGGTGCCAAGGAATTATTTTTCTGACTAAAGTTCTACTTTAAGTGAATATTAATGAAAACATATGTATAAGTGACTGGGTGGAAAAAGTTTTTTGTTTAATAATCTGTGCAAAATAAAATGAGTTCATTGATAGGTTGCTGCACAGTTTTCTCAGTTCACACACGATAATTTTCATAGTGGTCCTGTTGAAGATAAAAGTATACAACATTTAACATTAATTATTCTATTGTAGTCAGCCTGCTGTGGAATATTAAGAGGAACAGGAAGGCAAAAATATGGTGCTATTATAATGATTTTGGGGTTTTACCTCATGGGTTTCCGGTTGGAGTGTCGTTTGTTTCCAGTAAAACTTGGGATTTTAGGTAGTCACTCGCATGACAGATGTATTTTAAAATGTTTCCAGTAAAGCAATATCAGCTTTTAGGCTGATTTTAAAATAAAGAAAAGTAAGATCACTGAACTTCCACGTACATAAAGTGCAGGAACAAAAATAATATCCAAGTATGTTTAAAATGTTTCTGCCTGGGGGACACATGGTGCAATCCAATCCCAGGAATTACCAGAAGCGCAATATCAGCAATATGCATGTAGGCTGAATTTAGCTTTGCTGATACAGATTGGTTGTAATGTGACCTGCTGCTTATCAAAGTATAAGGACAATGAGCACAACTTTATATGTAGTCCATGTAGGCGCTGTTTATAGTACCCTGATGGTCCGTCGGTGGAAACGATGCTGGCCTGGTCGGATCACACTGCTCCTTGGAATCCAACGCAGAGAACCCTGAAAATGCTGGGGAAACAAGTTGTTACCTCTTAAGGCTGGCCATAGACGGGCCGTTTATTGGCCGAATTGTCGGCCGATATAACGAAATATCGGTCGTTGCTGTCACAGATGCTGCCACCAATGTCTATGAAAAATGTCAGTTTTTCGTGGATTTTCCAGCATGACTGATAAAAAGAGACAAGAAGATCTACGAAAAACTGCCAACAGCATTGCCCCACTAACGGCGTGAATATTGGCCGATTTTTCATGCGGACGAAAATTTGGCCGATAAACGACCTGTCTATGGCCTGATTAGGAGAAAGTGTCTGAACAAGGACATTTGTGGCAGAATCACCAGGTATTAATTTATTGAAACCTGCACATTTGAAAAGGCTGAAAACAACCTTTGGAATCACATTAATGTTAAATCTAGTATGATATTTTAATCATTGAGTTTATATCTACTTAAAGCGAAGTTCCACTCACTCTGTAAAAAAATAAGTCAGTAGCTACAAAAACTGTAGCTGCTGATTTTTAAAAAACAGCCACTCACCTGTCCCATGATTCCGCGTTGCCCCCGCCGCAGCCCATTTCATCAGCCATCCTGTATTCCATCTTCAGTGTGGGCACCCGGCTGTGACAGCTTGCGGTGCCCACTGCGCATGCACGAGTAGCGATGTGCTCCTGAATGGCCCCTTCATCTTCTGGGACCTGTCATGTGTCCTACAAGACTTCAGGGATGGAGGGTAGGAGGACAACTTCCGCTTCCGATCACCTAGGCGATCACAGCGGAAGTGGGAGCGGGTACCTGTCAAATTTGGATACCCGCTCCCCAAAGGTGCCAATCCTTAATGGGGAGCAGGGGACCAATCTTTAAAGCAGAACTTCCCCTTTTTGGTTGGGTACTGTATATGTAAACCCTCACCTTGTAAAACAATCCCTTCAGTTTAAAATAGAAATGAAAGGCAAAACATGTATGTATACAAAACAATATAAATATCTTTCTTCTCCTTTTATATAACTGGTCACATACCCTCTGTTCTCAGCTGCATAAGGATCTTAGAGCGCTAGGAAAAGAGAATCAGCAATACACTGATCTTCCCAGTGAATGGCTGTGCAGGGGGGGAGTGTCAAAACAAGTCTGATTGGAGTTCCAGGACAGGCAGAGAACTGATCACATTTTCCCTCATGCCTAGTGCGATCAGTTTTTAATATGAGAGCAGAGGGACTGTCAGGAACACCAGGCATTTCACACAAAAAAAGCAATACAAAGAAAACAGAATACTTTTTCATAGAAGTACATGATACAACAGGTACATATCAGGAATAATACATTTTGGGTTTACATACTGTATTCTTTAAAGTTTTCTCAGAAAGACTACAATCTATGACAATTTCACTTGAATAATCAAAACCTGTGACATGCATTATCTGACCTCCCTCAGTTTTGGTCATTGAAAGCATGTATGTGTAGCACTCACCCCCAGAGGAGCCACTTGGTATAACAGGTTCTCTGTTCTTTGCCATAACTCTGAGAACTGTTTCGGCCCCTCTGACACAGCTGATTTGGTAGTGATAAGCTGCAAACACCTATTAACTCAGTTGTTATTATTATACTACCCTCAACTGTATTAGCATATAGGAAATAGGCACCAGACTAATTAGTAGTAAATGGAATAAGTATATTATCACAAAGCAAAATAAATGGCAATGCAAAGAATGCAATGAACAAATAAAGGAGTCTGTTTGAATGCAATGCTAACTGATGA